CCCATACAGACTAAATTTTTTGGCTCATATATAACATTAAGAGTTTTTTGAAGGCTGGTATCCAATATAACACTTAATTGTGTAAAAGTTAATCGTAAAAAAATTTTGTACATAAGTCCCTTACTTTTGTGAGTGACAAAAATACCCACAAAGTAATAATAACTAGCAACTAATATATCACTAAAAAATTGGGCAACTAATCCCATTTGGAAACAACTATAAGTCATGCCCCAAACCATTAAATCCGACAACTAATACATCACTAAAAACATGGGTTTTGAAATTTAAATAAAATATGCCCCAAAAAAATGCCATAAAATTTATGAGATTTCAACCAAACCAAAAACACAAACAACCAAATATAGTGAGGACAAAAAAATCTATCGCCTATGTAGCAACATAGTCTTATTCAGGAATGTTAGTGTTACATCTCAGTCTAACAACACAACGGGCAGTATTGTATTCGTCACATTGTGACAGATAAATGTGCAATTATATTTTTTGATTCATACACTAGGCTAAATATTATGCTTGTCACACTATGACATCACAATGTGACATTAAAAAATGAGTTGGTCGTACACTGAAGTATGGTAAAAAGAGGATGTTCAGGAGAAGATGTGGATGGTTAAAGTAACATTACATTATGACATTACACAGATACATGTATCGTACATATAAACAAGAGAAAAAAAATGGCAAAACTAGGCTTTTGACATTATACACTACCGATTTCAAAAGAAGGCTAGTCATTACATTAATAGCGAACATATATATCCAAATATGAAGTAAAGTAAACGATATATGTTCAAGAAGATGAAGAACATCAGACATTAATGTAGAAAAAGAAAACTAGACATTGAAGTATTTTTCATTAACGAAGAAGAACAAATGTTGACGTAGAAGAAGAAAATCAGAAGCTGAAGGTTTACATCAGCTATTGAAGTATAATAATATGAATTTATGTTTAAAATTCAAATTCATATGGATTTAAATCACGATTCATATAATTTAAGTTTCAAATTCAAATATGTTGTCTATTAAAATAGGAAAATCTTAATATAATAAACCAAATCCCATAAAAAATAGATTGTCAATTTAAACAGACCAATAAATATGGACAATGGTATTTTAGTAAAGAAAAAATTTAAAAATCTGTCAATGTGTACCTAAATACAATACATTTCAAGTCAAGAACACATATCTGCAAAAGATTTTAACCAATGTATTTTCTCACAATTAGGTAGTTTAAAAGGTACCTCCTCAATTTTTTGTAACATTAATTCTCAAACACCATAACATATTTGGGGGCCCTTTTTTAGGGGGCCTCAGCAAACATTTAAGTTGCCTGCCTATTGGGCCGACCTTAGCACTTGCCAGGCGTGGGGGGCGATGAACATTCATACAAAGTCTTTTCTTTTCCCCAAGGAATGGAAATCTCAATCCAAATTAGTGTATAAGTAGCTCGCACAATGGTTAGGGGTGAATATGCGATTGATTTCGTTCTTTATAAGAATAGTGTTCCCTTCTAAGGGAGGTGCGATGTCAATCGGCCTAGTCATAATGATCGGTCTTTCTCCTTTCCCAAGAGTGAAGGAATTCATCTCTATGCATATAATTTTATTAGTGAAAAATGTATTCAATAGTTGTCATGTTTGGAAGTGAAGTAATAGAGGCGTCTTCCAATCTTCTTTTAGACTTTTTTTTTTTAAAGTTTGATCTCCCTCTTCCCTTTCTCGCCACAAGGATCTCTTTTATAAATAACAAATGGGAAGATGGAAAAAATCAAAGTGATGCGTAAAATTGGGGTTTCGGGAAGGACTCATGTAATAGATAAACTTCAATATTTTGTGTGTTAGACTTCCTCCCTTCAAGAGCTTCGGTAGTTAACATGTATTCTTTAGGCATTATATAAGTGAATAAATAATTGGTTATTGAGTGGTCTATATAAAATTTTCTATTTTATCCTCTTTTTGGGCATTCACCTTGTTTTTACTCCCTTCTATTCATTATGACCCCAATAAGCACTATTGTGAATTCCATACGTTACAAATTATGTTTCTATGATGTGTATAGCATAACTCTTTGAACTTTACATGTGAGCATTTACAATAAGTGTATAGTACTCTCAACAATTCGGGTGCTAATGACACTAGCCTTTCTTTTTATACCTCACATTTTTATGATTGGTCACGTTGGACTCTTTTCTCTAATTTAGCTCTTTGACATCTTTTTAAGGGACACTAGTTGTTGCAGATATGAATTGCATGTGGCCTAGGTTGAAGTATAATTTTTATTTGAGCAATTTAAGATTTATACTTTTCAAGTATGAGTCATGTTTCAACTTGGTTCTTGAAATTTCAATTGAAATAATCAAGTCCTCAATGTTTTAATTGATTTCAATACCATAACAATGTTTTTCAATTTTTTATTTTTTGTATTTCAAATTTAAAATGAAGATTTTATTGTTGAATTGGATCTTGAGATGAGGTCGGATTAACCCAAACCAAGCCTATCATTTTTCAACATATTAATTGAAATGATTGATTATGTATGAGTAGGGTTGTCCATGGGCTGAGCCAAGCTTGGCCCGTGAATTTTTTTTCGGGCCGGGCTTGGATAGTGTAGGCCCAAGCCTGTACTCAATCGAGTGGCGAGCCGGGCTTCGGGTAGGGGTAATCTACCCGCAGCCCAGCCTATCATCTATTGGGCGAGCTTTGCGAGAGGGCTTTTGTTGGGCCTGTTAGGCGAGCTTTGTTGGGCCTATTTTGGGCGGGGCTTCTTGGGCCTTATTGAAAAAATATACAACTTCATTTAATTTTTTTGTAAATTATATTTTTGAATTAAAAGTATAGTCAAAATCAAAATGGACAAAAAGTATGAGTTCTGATTGTCTCAGGCTCTTAGTCGTTGGCTCAGACAATCGCAGTGACAAACTTACACATGGAAAAGACAATACACAAACAGAGACAGGCTCTTAGCCGCTAGCACAGACAATCACAGTGATAGGCTTACAGATAGAATAGACAATACACAAACAGAGACAGTCACACAGTAGCCGTTTAAATTTGATGTGGTGCTCAACAATTCAAATTTAATGTGGTGCTCAGCAATTCAAATTTGAAAAAATTTGACTCACCTAACTTTCTATCTCACCTACCAAATTATCACAAGTTCTCATGTGCGGGTTATTAGGTTGGGCTAGGCTTCGAGACGGGTATGTGGACGGGTTATTGGGCCCGACTTCAATTTTTGGGCCTGACTTTGGACTTCGGGTTTCGGGCCGAGTAATGGATTTAGGAGTAAACTTAAGCCCTTTCTTAAAGGATATCGAGCTCGGGCTCGAGGGGGCCAATTATCGAGCCTTTTAGGTATCGAACTTATTTTTTTTTGGGCTAGGTAATGTGACTCATGGGTAACCCGGCCCATTGACACCCCTATGTATGAGCCACATTTTAGGCCATTTAGACATGGTTTATCTTAGTTTCAAAACAATGCTAGCCCACCATGCATCTACCTATCTATACTTGTGGTCGTGGTATTGCATATTCCAGGTACAAAACAAAATGTCTCTTTGGTAGAAGTTCATATTCTATGAGTATAAATGAGTTTGTCCTCAGATGAGAATAACATTAGAGCAAGAACTTTTTTCTATAATCATAGAAACTCACCCCTCTTTCCAATTCATCCTAGCATTATAGAGACATAAATAGGATACAAATATACATAGAGAACATATAACTAAAAAATTGTATGTATATGACAAACAAAATAGTACACTTAACTTCATAAAATTGCAACCACCCAAGCCAAAGCACAGGCAACACCATAAAATTAGTGCTTTATTTTATCTCTTATGGCCAACATCTCAATTTCTTATGTCAAAGACATGCTTTTTAATCATCACACCTACCAAAGGAATAACAATTCTTATTGTCCATGCGGTTGGTGTCACCTTTGCTATCATAGATGTCATGCAGTCAACATTAATGGGCTCGACTGCATGAGTGCACCCCAACCACTGCCTCGAGTGTTGTATATTAACCAGTCAAGTCTTAGTTTCTTTGGTATAGAGATCTATTATACTTGAGTATGCTTATAATATGTGTAACTGGAGTGACTAATATGGATTGAGGGTGAGGTGGATTTATACTTGACATATGTCCTTTGCAATTCATTAAACGTTTGGAATTTATGACTTTTTTGTGTCCCTTCACTTGCACTAATCTTTTTTACCTTTCATATCTTTGATTTGTAATGGTGTACTATTTATCATATTTTTATGTGCTTAAATGATAATTGCAATTATACTTTCATCATATAGAGAAGAAAAATAGACGATACTTGAATAAAAGTGTCTATTAACTTTCCCATAGAGTAATATACACTATTGACTTATTAAATTGTCATAATGTTTAAATCAAATATGATAAGAGATTAGGGTATAATTGGATCTAGAAATCTAAGTGGGATAGCATAGGAAAATAAATTTTTTTTATGCTAAGGTACTTTTATTAGTAGTATAGATGAAGCTTTACTAATCTTTAGTTATGTGTTTAGAAATCATAATGTTTTTTTACCCTTTCATAATGTTTAGAAATCATATAAGGTCATTAATAACTTAAGCAAAGAAGGCTCTCAATTAATGAAGTTAATTAGTTAAGTGTGCACTTGGTTTTATGAATTTCACAAAGATAAATACTATCCAAGCACATAAGAATGAAAGGGTATTTTCAATGTTGTTATATTTTCCAAAAATTACATAAATTAGAAAATATGCATAACATGCAATACATAAAGGAAAACAAAACAACTAAGAGTAAATCCTACAAGGATGCTCAACTAAACATCAATAATATTTATTTATTTATTTATTTTTTGTCTTTTCCAAATTAATGAGAATCAAAGAAAATAAAACAAAGAAAATTTTTACAATGGATGAACCTAGATTATGAAATGGAATGCATGAATGTGCATATAGATTCATACCCTTACCGCACCTACTCCTTAGGTGACTCAACTACCTTGGGAGTCATGGGCACTCCCACTATAGCTGAGGCAATAAGTCTCTCAAAGTCCTCGTTCCTAACATAAACTTGTTTAACAGTCCTATTTTTCAAATTAAGAGGAGGAATGGATGGAGGATTCACTATATTCTCTATGGATGTCTCTAAGTCAACCTTAAGTTAGGAGTACTGAGATTTTTCTTCTGCCTGGCTAGTGAACCTTGAGGTGGTGAAACATTCCTAGTCTTGGGCTCACTAAGCCTACCCATAAGCTTGGTAAGATTCAACAAGTGATCATTCAAGACTTTGGATTGGTCTACAAAGTGGATTAGCTTCTTGCTCATGACTTCACCGATGTTCCTGTTTCCTATTATTTGAGTTATTTGGTATTTGAACATTCATTTTTTTATTGCTGAGCACATTATTTTCTGTCACATTATATACTTTCCCACTTTTAACATTTTTCAGGTTGCTTTAGGAGGAAGAAACTAGAATTGAGATATCCAAGAATTGGAGATTTATAACTTTTGATTTTATTTTTGTAATATATGATTTGAGGATATCTATTTGTAAACTCTGGAGATTATTTAATTTTGCGTAATTAGAGCTTTGACCCTATATATATTGGAGATATTTTTTATGGAATTATGTCGATTGATTTAGATTGATCAAGTAACACATCTGGGAAAATGGGGCACTATAGTGTTCATATATGCAAAACATTCAAAAGAAGCATACAAAAAAGTTCACAATTAGAAATTAGCATAAAAAAAATAAGAGAAGACATCCTAATGACAAGTTTTCTTGGCATCCCTCATATATTCCAACCATACGGCTCAAACATATTCGTCCACATTTTTCAATTGATATCAATCCAAAATAGAATAAGAGAAAGCATATACAACTATCTACCAAGTGGAACAACATCACACAATTTGTGCATCTCTTCCTTGTAGTCCTTGACTTTATACTTCCTTGAGGTGGATAAGGTTGGTGTGCTAATAGTGACGTGCATGGTCTTGCATAAATCCTGTAGTTGCTTGTCCAATTGTTCCCTCTCACTCACTTTTCAATGACGCTTTGTAGAAGAAGATGTTGGGAGTGATTTTCAGATCACGTCCAACATCTTCAAAAAAAAAAAAGTGGAAATGAGTTTAAAAAATTTTAAGATTTTCACATTAAGTCATATACTACTTTGATTCAAAGAAGTTATATTCACATGTTATTTTCTTGTAAATGAAGATACCAATACAAAAATCAAGTTTGAAGCTGAAAGACATAAGCTTTCTTCCTTCCATCTCTCCTCCCCTCTTTGTCCCTACTAGATAGAGGTTGGGGTTTGAGAGGGTGGGCTCCCAAAGCTGCTCTCTAAAGCTCACTTACCCCTACTCATATATCACATATAAGTAGGGCTCTCTAGTATTAGGGCAAGAGGAGGGATCTAGAGTCACTCACAACCAAGCTACAATTGGTCAATAGTCTTCAAGTTATCGCACAATTAGGCTAGTGCACCAATTAATTTCAGTTCACTCCACTAAATAATTTAAATTGCACTCAAAGACAGTGATTTACAACCATACCTTTTTGCACTAAACATTTTGCAATGTAAGCCCTCCATTCGGTTATCAATAATGAGGGTTAGGATAAAAATACTATCGAACTAATACCTATTTAATCCTGAACTCTTGTGACATCTAATTCATTATCTTTTAATCACTTCTATAATGTCTTCATCTTGATAAACACTTTACCAAAAAGTCTGGATTTGGATTTCAATAATTAATTAAATAAACTGTTTCACAAGCAATATCTAACTTTCTATATTTGACAAGTGAAGATTCCATCTTGAGAATAGGTGTTCCCAAAAACTTGATATTGACTTCCTATGACCTAAGGTGTTGATTAACTAGATCTCACTCATTGATAAGTCCAAGTCATCACCATCAATAACATGAGTTCACTATTCTCTTAGGATTAAGAGCTCACTTGTAAATAACAAACATAATAATCACATCAAGAGGTGATAGTTTTCCATGATGTCTTTCTCATTGTGATCATATTCAATGTGTACCCAACACACTAACCAGATTCAACTACTCCAGTGGCTAATAGAAACCACCCTATCACATAGAAGTCTAGTTTACTACAACCTTACTATGATTGTGAGCCGATTCTAAATTGCTAGTGATCCACATCTCTTATATGTTAATCTAATTAGTAAACATGAACCATACCTTCAAGCAATCTAAGGACTAGTCATCCCCTAACATAAAATATTACTCAATGTATGTGAATATGATAGAAAATAATAAACTACTATATTATTTTGACACTAAATATATGGGTTTTGGGGCATACATTCTAAAAGAAGACCCATCAGATAGCGTTACAGTCTATGTGAACCTTCCTTTGTCATACGTTCACCTATCTCAGGTATCCAACTATCCTATGGACAAGAGGAAAATAGGACAAATGAATCATCACTTTTGGGTGCAAACAATCCTTTACCATCTATCACGTTGCATTTCATCGTGTCGTATTGTATTGTACCATATCAAATTGATGTGTGGGCCATACCAAGCATGAATAGAGGCCCTGATTTCGGGTGAGGTAGAGGGTTGGCGATTCACAACCACTCGTATGTCGAAACTTCTTCTTTGTGTAAAAGGAGTAGGTCGTTCCATTTGTTCCGAGTGATGCAAAAAAAGCTAAGTCACTGCCTTCTGCTCAAGCTTCCCTTCTTAATAAGATTAAGTAAGAGGAATGTATTAGAAATTTATGTTTGCTTGGTAGCGAATGGACAGGTTGTGCGTCCTTTGTCAGCATATAACATATGTGAACTATTTAGGGGGCCCCTAGATGAGTTAGAGTCAATTCATCATATTAATGAACCGGTAGAACGAGATGGAGAAAGTCAACGAGTTCCAAAGTAATCTCATACTTTGATCAACATCCAAATATAAAAGCGATTAGTTAGTAATGAATGGACTCGAATAAGTTGAAGAGGTCTTTGGTTATGGTTGTTGTGTGTGATAATTCTGGCACAATAAATAAATTGACAGATCTCTCAACTAATGAACTCGAGTTTGTCTGAAAAGTCAAAAGTTCCGCAACAGATAGATGTTGATAAGTTGTAATGAATGGCGATGAAACTGTTTACAAACGACCTGTTCACTCGTAGGCTTTCGAACAGAGTCCTGTCACTCAAAAAGAAGGGTTAAAAGGGCGTCAAAGTATTTTTCAATGAGACCCATCCAACGATCAAGTCAATATGTAAGAGATGATTGGAAAAGCACAATTCTATTGCTTGGGTGAGCTTTTGCGTTCCTTAGACTTGTGTTTGTGAGAGCTATTTATATCTCTTTGGAGTCAATTATTATGGACTGCTGGGTCCCTTAGAGGGAAGGCTCCTTATTGGCTCATTTGGAAGGCAACAGGTGGTGCTCAGTTCTCAAGCAGTGAGCCTTTCTTTTGACGTGGTAGTAGATTCTGCATTTAATGCTCGAATCTCTTGGCACTTAACGCTCGCCTGCCTAGTCTTGCCAAGCAATAAATGTGTCCCATATGTCTGAAGGAGTCATTTAATGTTCCCTCATTGTGGTTGCACATATGTAAGGACACTTTCGTCCATTGTCCTCCAAGAGGTCATGTTCCCTATGCTTTGTACTTTGTACACCCTCATTATTGGCTACTGAGTTGCCTTTCCTGCTATTTTGACTTCCTTGGAAAGGGGGAATCGATGATTGACAGTCAACTTTGCTTCCAAGTCACGATAACCTTCAAAATTACTATCCATACTTTGCTAAAGTGGAAGACCTAACACCGAGGACAAGTGTTGAGTGGCTAGGGCTCTAAGGGACCTTGGTGATGAGGACACGTGTCAAACAGAGGGTATTCTAAAGGAACTAAACGTTGAGGACATACGTTAAGTGCTTATTACCTCGGGGGTCATGTCCGCCAAGGACACGTGTCAATCACAAGGGGTTTCGAGGACACATGTCGCTCTATGGAGGCTCCACGTTCAGAGGCCACATGTCGTCTCCCCATCAATCCATGGAAACGTCCCGTCAACTGCCCCTGCCCTTAATCTTCGTACGATCCGGGCGACGTGGTGGAGGAGGATGAAATGGCTTAACCCTTATTTCCTTGTGCAACTGTTTTCCCTTCCTTGGGGTTCACACCTCATTTAATGTGCCCCCCTCATTCCCTATTGGCAATGATGGTTCTTAGCTTATTTAAACATAGCCCTTGCCTCCTCCTTCCATTTTTGCAAGTCTTGAGAGATATGAGCCTTTCGCTGGAGTTCCATCAGAGAAACCACAATTCATCGGTGAGTCACCAGTTTGCTTACTTTCGCCGATGGGGAATGTAAACTACCACCTCCTCATCTATTTCAGAAATGTGTTCATCAGTGAGTACATATTCTTCTTTCTCTTTTAGTAGTGACCATTCTTCTTCTGTTCCTTTTGTCTCCCAGTCCTCTTCAACCCATCCTTAGGGACCCATCTTTAGGAATCCCATATAAGGCTGGTCCTTTGAGGGGCCATTGTTGGAATACGAATACTGGGGCCAATGAGGTTGGTCCTTTGAGGTCGAGGAAGTACACAGTCAAGGGTCGCCAATAAATCACCAACTTTAAGACCCATTACTCCATTCTTGTTGGGGTCACCGTTAATGAGTTCGTACCTGGACTCCACAGTACCCATGTCGTCATTGAGGAGGTCATGCCCTTCTTCACTAAAGCCATCATGGAGGGTGGCGTCTGATTTCCCCTCTACCCCTTTCTTCTCTGTTTCCTATCCCGATTTTGCCTCTTCCCAGGACAGTGTTGCCTAAACACCTTTAGGATCATCATGGGGCTGATCACCTTGAACGAACGTCTGCAATTGAACCTTAGTTTGGAGGCGATCCTTTTTTTTTATTCTTTGGTGAGAGTGATGCCTCAGCAAAAATTCTACCTCAAGGCCCAAAACCCCGCTATGTACCTAGTGACATATCTGTTGAACTCCGACAAAGAGTACAAGGATGAGTTACTCATCTTCGGCGGCCAATGGGAGGGGGGAGTCGACCTCGAGTACGCCGACTTATGGTGCCCTAAGCAATGATGGACTGCAAGTACGTTAGCTTCTCTCTCTCTTCTCGGTTTATAGTACATCGACGTTTCGTATTTGCACCTAACGTTTACCCTTTGTTTCTTACAGGAGTCACCGATGCCGAGTCTGCTGCACCTCCTTAGAATCTTGTCAACCTCGGCAACATCTATATTGTCTGGGGCTACTTGGGGATAGTTTTGACAGGGCCGTTCACATGCTGCTCAATTACACTCCAGGTTACAAGAACTTTT